GTTTGTTCAACACACACACACATACCATGTGTGTTTTGCTTGTGTGGGGTCACCGTGGTGAACTGCTTCGACTGCGGCAGGCCTCACTTGGCCGCGGCCGAACGCCGAGCCGAGCTGGCGGAACAGCGCATGGCCAAGGGCCTGCGCACGGGCGCTTGGACGCGGACACTGTGTGAGGTCCCTCGTAAGCTGTGGGTTTGCATGTATTCTTTTGTGATTATGAAAGTTGTCCTTAACAAGTTTGGGTTTCATAAATGGCATGGTACTGATATCAGTACTGTTTCCCTTGGAGTTTGCATTGGCCTGGGAGCTTCCGCAAGAATGAATGCCCAACGATGCCCAAACCATTGTTTTTTGGAGCAGGTGAATCAGTTCCCACCAAACGTGCAAAATCTTGTTGGAGCCAACACTGTGAACAGAGAGGTGATGTTGAATTTGTTTCTCTACAAAAATACCTAGTCATTCTGTATACAGTATACATCAGTATACAGTCTTTTTCCAAAGGATCTGATGAATCTGGGTGTCCCTGTTGCTACACCGGCTGGACACCCCTTCCTTGCCCAGGCGATGTAAGCAGTGCCCAGCAGAGGCTCTTGGTGGCCTGGGAACTCAGCAGCGTCCGTGCTTCGCTGTATAGTTCGCCATCCTGAGAGTTTAGGAACTTGGTCGCTTGAGCCATTTTCACAACCATGGTAATGGTATGAGGTCTTACCAGCATGGCGCGATTCGATTGGTGGAGTTCATTTTTTGAAACCTCACCATAGTGCATTTGAGACGCCTTTGAGGTTGCCTTGCTTACGGAGGATTTGTTTCATTTTTTGCTAAGGCCAAGCAAGCTGCTCTTCAGCTTCAGCAGCATCCCAAGGCCCAACGCCGGACATCCGACGCCGGACCATAGCATCCGACTTGCCACCTGAGAAATGGTTCAGGGCCAGGGCTGTCAGCTGAGAGCTGAGCAAGCCGAGAACTATGGGTTTCAGAGGAATTTTGGTTTGCCGAACGATGCAGCTCATCCTCCAGGTTGGCGGCCATGGAATGTTGGGGGGCTTTGTGTGAAAGCGGATTAAAAGGTTTGGGTGTTTTGACACTCTTATTGCTGGAATCAGCTGCCAAGCTACCATTTGGATCCCATGTGCCTTTCGGGGGCATAACCAACTTGGACGAAGCCTCACATGCTAAATTACAACTGTTTGTTTCAAAATTAGCACTGCTAAATGTTCTCGCGGACAACCACTGAGAAGAGACAGTTTCTTGCCAGGATTTGGTGGCACCTGTGCCCTTGCTTTTGGACAACAAGGTGCGAGTGGGGAGAGCGTTGGGAGAGCAAATGAGCAAAGGTGCACCACTCGCGAGTCGCAGAGGGCAAGTTGCGAGTTGCTTTGTTATTGAAAGCATGCAAAACCTGGTAAGAACCTACTCAGCCTATATACTCTTCATTCAGAGCAGCCCTTCAGGGGTTGCTAAGAATGCAATGGGCCTAGATGCACAAAAGGACGGGGCGGGGTGGGCATCATTTTTGAGAAGTTATGATTGTTGCTAGGGTTGGGACAATTGTCCATTTAAAGAAACTATGATCTGGTGAGTTACAGGTTGAGCTGACACAGAAATCTTGCATTGACTTAGTAGTCGATGAATTTGTGTTTCTTTTTCGGTGCTTTGCTGTGTCAAATTGTCTTTCACTGGATTTGTGGAGCCCAGCATCCTGAAATTCTTCGATTTTGCTTGAGCTGCCAAGGCCAAGACTTATCCATCTCAAGATCTCAAGAGCTAAGACTTATCCAGCTGTGGATGGGTGAAATGTCGGGGGTCATCGTCCAAACCGAAGATGCAGAAGCTCACGTTTGTCCCCGACGTTTATCCATCTTCCGATGGTGCAGGCTCAAGAGATGGAGGAGAGAGCCTTGGAAGAGGAGCTCTTGTCTCTGAAGAAGGCCAATGGTGCCTTCACTGGGAGGGTCCAAGACCTGGCTGAATTGCATGTTGCAAATAGAGAACATTCCTTCAAAGCTTCATGTTTGCCTACTTGCCGGGTGGGTTTTCAGAGTATTGGTTTCGGAGATGATCGGATTCACTAGCAGCTCTGTACAGCAACATGTGCAATGTATTGCGGGATTTGAAGTGAGCCCAAACCCGCCTGAATCAATTGTGACATCAAGATGCATCAAGCCCGGCTAGCACCTGGTCCTCATAGTAGTCACACTGGTCCTCACTCGCGTGGGTCCCGCTTTGGATGCAGGCATGCCGGATACGCCGCGATGTGTTGTGCATGCCGGGTGACCAGGAGGTGTAGGTGTCCTTTGATCAACAGTAGCAACAGCAAGATACCTTCATGGACACCTACATGAAGTGGGATATTGCATGCGCATTTCTGTTGACCCCGCAGGTGGAGGAAGAGACGCTGCAGCGGTTCGAGGCAGGGAACTGGGACCGACGACCTTTAAGCAAGGCTGAAGTTCCAAACATGTTGAAAAGGGTGCGGCATCAGGTTGTTTTTGCAATTATGTACTTTAATATATGCTACTCTCCCAAGAACAGAAACGCTGCCCACCGAGCTCTCCGTGCCCCAGAGCTCTCCGTGCCGAACGGAACCCCACGACCCCCCCGGATGGACCCCGACCCTCCCAGGACGGACTGATTGCTTTCTACCTGCCCAGGACGAATCCAAACTCATTGAAGGAAGTGAGGTGATTTGGTGGGGATTTGGGACATTTTCTGGTGAACCTTGGGGTTGGCCTGGTCTGGTTTGACTGTCGACTGTTGACCGATGTACTCCATCAATGTACTCCAGAACGCAAGACCTTGATTTCCCGCTGGGGTCCATGATTTTCCAGCATACCAAATACGGTTTCAGTGGTCAGACGCAACTGCATGCTGGTGCCACCCGTGGTGAACGCTGAGTCACCAGTTCAGATGAGCCGAAGAGGTGCAAGATGTGTTGGACACCCTCGTCTCAATCTCAATCAAGACCGTGTGTCACACCCCCAGGCCGAAGAAGACGCAACCCGCGTGCAAGAGGAAGAGCATTTGGCACAATGCTGAAGGGGTCCCCAGATCGGCATGGTAGGTAAAGAGGGAAAAGGACATTGTTATCGAAACAACCATCACATGATATCACAAATTATATAATAATTATTACTATTACATATAACAATCTTTGCTGATTTGGTGTTTGGTTGACCATCCATAGTTAGAGAACTTGCTGATGTGGGAGGAGTGGTATATTGGCAACTGAGGCTTTGCCATGGGCCAGTGATGTCCCAAGTCAGCTTCGTTGGTTGAGGTATCATCGCAGATCAAGTCACTAAGTTCCTGATATACATAAATATACCAAGGATATATGAAGGGAAAGCTTCGAAAACAAGAAACACATACATGTCCACAGACCATGCAGATATTCTGGGCGAAACTCTTGCCAGAACCAAGCAACATTCCCAGCTTTGCGGTGCCTTATTTGCGCAATTCATGTTGCTTTTGTGCGAAGGCCAACTGGAAGAAGAGTTGAGAACAGCCGAGGCCAACAGGCGATGGGAGGGTGTCGTGTTGTTCTTTCTGATTCGGAATGGGTTTGGACTCGGACCTACAAGGAACTTCATGGGTTCATCATTGATCTACTGTACCTCAGAACCGGGTCTCATGAGACCCCGAACCGGCCCGCAGTTTGGTTGATACAGGGGCGATCACGAAGCGTCAGGAGTGGTCATCAAGTGTTTTTTTGTCATTCCCACGTGTAGCTGTTCAACATCTTTGCATTTTTGGGAGGCTTTGTTGTTCAGACAGACAGTGTTTGTTCTTGTACTCGACACCTTGTGATGGTCATCAAGAGAGACACAGCGGTCACAGCGGAGCCAAGCCATCACGGAGCATACAGGATCTTTGGTCACTTTGGTCCAGCTTCCGCACGTCATTTGTTCGCAACAGAAAGAAAATGGCCGACTTAGTGCTTTTGTTTGTGTCACAGGGGTCCGACTAGGCATGAGTTTCAGCAACTTTGTGGGGTACACCGTACACCAGCAATCACCAGCTTTTCCTTTCTGTCCTTTGACCTTCGTTGGGTTGTAAGGTAGTGATGGTAGTGACGGTGTTGCGAGGGTGTTTCTATGCTTTGTACCCTTTATTTTGAGTCACCAAGTGGAAGCCTTTGACTTGGCAAGGCCTTCAGAGCGCTTCCAGCGGTCCAAGGCGCGGGCAGTAAACGACGGTGTCCAACAGGTCGGTTAGTGACGGGGCGCAGACGTCTTGGTCGGTTCAAGTGGATGGGGAGCCAAGTTCACCCAGTTGGTTGTCATAGTGGTTGGTGGTTGTGTTTTGATGTTGGTGATCAGTGGGGATAAGGTTTTGTGTTTTTTCCAACACACACAACTGAGGGATGGTCAAAGTCGACGGTTCCCCAAAAAGACGTGGATGGGAGTAAATGATGTTCATGTGAGTCTTCAGGTTGTCGAAGGTTTGTAGTTTAGACCATATTATTTAATATTATACAGCCTACCTGTAACCGCACAACAATCCTTGGAATTCAAGGTGGCTTGTGTTATGTGGATGTGAACAGATGTTAATATAATGTGGAAATGTGGACATGTCGACAATAGGTTTACTTAGAAACATGAGTACATACTTAAGCATGAGATGAACAAGATCTCAAGTATTTAGTATTCTATATTAACACTGGCAGCCAGCATCGGAGTTTCTCCTTCAGAATGTTGACAGATGCTTTCCTGTACAACTTCAGCCCCCAGGTCCGTGTTCCTTCCGGCCGCTCCTGTGTTGAGATGAGTCCTTGTGAGTCCCCTAGTTCCTTCCGGCGAGCTCTTGGCTGCCTGGTTCCTGACACACACTATGTCTGTGTCTTACAGCACTTGGACTGATTTGGAAGGTCTCATCGGTTCAAACATGTTGAAACTATCCGCAATCATTCCCATCAATGCATGTTTTTCGACGGATGCAGGATCCCTTCAGAACTTCAGAGTCAGCGAGTCAGAAAGTACTCGTTCTACATCTCTCAACCCGACCACATCTGGCTTCATCCTTCCCATTTTCTTCCATGGCCTTCCTCCCTCGTCTCACCTGCCTGCTCCGCACCGGCGCGGCCGCGCTGCCGCGCACGAGCGCGGCCGCGCGGTGCATCGGGACCCAGACGCCGCTGTGGAGGGATCGGCAGCTGGCGGCGGCCAAGCGCTTTCAAGCGCCGAGTGGGGGAACGACGCCGCAGAAGGTGGTCAAGGAGGCCTACCAGGCAGCAGAAGAAGAGGATGAATTTCAGAAACTTGAACTAAAGAAAAGGGGAGGGGGGATACGTGCATGTTAGATCTGAAAGGAATTCTTCTGCATCAATGCAGCATATTGCCATTGCAAGGAGGGCCAACTTGAGGGAGTGGATCTGATTGGTCCTTACCACGAACTAGACGTTTCGGCATGCCCCAGCTTTTTCGCTGAAAAAGACACCAGGCTCTCCCTAGCGATTCCCCATCCCATCGCCTCGAACGATGTCCACCCGAGGTGTGCACGCCTCCTTTGGACCTTGAAGAGCGGTCCCTACGATGCGGACGTGAAGGCTGCGATCAACGCTCCATTGAATGAAGATGGGCGAAGCTTACTGCAGGCAGTGGCCGCCAAAGGCGGGGGACCAGTCACCCCAAGGGTTCAAGCCATGTTCAAGCCTATGAAAGTGGGATGTTTTGATGTTAGTGGAGTGGTATTCTGCGGTGCCCTAAAATTGATAGCGGAGCAAACATTTAAGGTGGACTAATTCCAGTGTCCAGAATTACAACCCCTTGGTCAAAACTGTCCTGCTAGGTTTGCTACGGCCACTGGGCTATCTCCTGGACATGGCGGCCAACTGCGCGCGGAAGGATCGTTTAGGCCTCACTGCGTTGCACGAGGCAGCCCAGAACGGCCAGAACGAGGCTGCACAGCTGCTGCTCACGCGTGGGCGGGCGCCCAGTAATGCTCGGGACGCTGCAGGCAGGGGCAATGGTAGTACTCATGTGCAATGTAATGTAATGATGATTCACGTTTTTGCAATCTTGAAATAAGGAAGGTTTGGTAGCAGCGTTAGAGATTTCTGAACATGAGGACGTACAGCCAGTCGATATTCCTTTTGTGCTCACATGTCACATGGCACTCATACGAGCTATCAGCGGGGGAGCATCAGCATTTCTTCACAAGGTTCCAAAATGTGGCCATGGTTGACTACTTAAAATGAACAGAATAGATTACCAGCCAGGTCAACCTGCGGTTTGCAGTTCCAGGTTTTGATGTTTAAGAGACAGAGGCATCAATTTTCAGGTGACTTCAAGTATAGAGAAGGTTTCCAACTGCCCACCACAACGCCACCTTGACAGGTCAGACTCCTTTGCAACTGGCCATGGAGAAGGGCAGCAACTCCACAGTGCCCAAGCTTGTTGCATTATTGTGAGGAGCAACTTTTTTTTGATCGCCCCTCACATTTGGTTGGTACCTACCTGATTGGATGGTGCAACTGTGCGATAAATGATAGTTTAGCTCTCCCTGATGTCGGAGAAAGGTTCTGACCAGGGGCTTGATTCTGATCTGATGGTCCAATGTGGAATGGATGGTCAAAGTTCATGCGGCAGGCAGGATTGATTCAGGATGGACAAAGGGCGTCCACCAAGCCCGTGTGGAGCTTGGTTCAGAAGTCATTTTCCCTGGAGGATGCCCACAAGAATCATGACTGTTGTATCATTGGTATAATGAGCTAAAACATGATAAACAAAACATCATTCCAAGTCCTGTCAGAATACTATAATTGAATCACATAAAGGTGTAGCCAAGCCAAATTGAGGGGAACTGTTGAGGGTCCTTGCCATCCCATGCCATCCGCTCAGCCATCCGCTCAGCCCCCCGTGCTATCAGGTGCAAACACTGATGCGCTTCGGCGCAAATGTGAAGCTGCTGGATGCGAGCAAAGTGCCCGAGGAGGCACAGAAGCTGATGGAATGGACCAGGAGAGATTGGTTTGATGGAGTACAACTATAGCCTTTTTCTATTCTTTTCTCATTCTTGTCCAACGTTGGAAGGTTCTCGTGAAGTTCTTGTAGATACTGAAACACAACAATCAGTTGTTGGAATGTGTGACCTTTTTTTGTCACTGATATAGACCTTTGTGGCTCGGAGCGTCTCGCCCCCCCAAACAGGAGCTTCTCAGAGCGTGTCAACGAAGAGGCGGCCCAAGTGCAGCTGCGGCGGAAAGACGTCAAGAGCCTGGGGAACGAGGTGCCGGAGCTGAGTAGAGTCTGTGTGGGAGCTGTTTGGGGGGGTAACTTGGAGATGGTCGGTTTGAGAGTTTTATTGACATCCACATCATATCACTCAGCGCAGAATCACATATCGCATCACCAATTGATGGTAGCAGTGACTAGTGTTTGCTTCTTTTTCAATATATCTCAAGACATATATATATATATGTATATACATATCAATCAACAACTCCTGGTTGCCTTATTATTCGTAGTAGAACGGCAGGGTCACCAGATTCACTCGACGATTTAGATGAAACACGACTCATTGGGAGGTTCTTTCATATTCATCTTGAGACATCTGGCAGATTCATCAAATTGGGAGGTTCATCTTGAGACAGACCCCGTGGCCGTCGTATGGCAACCGCCCAGCCTGCAGGTGCCCCATCACATCGTGGCACCCAAGTTGGTCCTCACTCCGGCTCCTCGAAGCAAATGTCGAAGTCCATGGATTTCTGAGACCAAACGGTGGCCAAGAGGCAACTCTTACAGAGTGGGATTCCATACTTGGTACTTTAACAACCAGCCCACTGGGCTGTTTCTTTTGGGGGGGTTCAGATTTTGAGATGTAGGCCACAACTGCCTATTTGGCAAAACCTTTGACATGTGGGATCCACAAGAGGGTGCTTTGGCTGCGCTTCAATTTGAACTATGAGACAAACCCTGTACATTTCTCCCTGTACATGTTGCCCTCCTGCTCGCACGCCTGACCAGCAGACATATGCCAAGTCCATGCTTCGCTGCTGTCACCGAGATCGGCTACTGCCCGGTGAACGACGATGGGGAGGTCTATCAGCTGAAGCGCGGCGTGCGCTTCGCGAAGCGCCGCCAGGGGCCTTCGGCACCGCGGGGGAAGGTCAACTGGCACCTCGGACGCGGCGCGACCAACGCGCGGCCACGCGGGCGCGCGAAACGCCGACGGTCGACGTGGCTGGAAAAAGAATGGGATGCGCCAAACTAAAAACACGGCGGAATGCTTGAGATACGAAACAAATCATGCCGTGCAAAGCTGCAAAACAGGAAGGGAACGAAAACACAAACCTTGCAAGTGACCAGCGACCACTGGCATGTCGCCTGCAGGAAACCCTCTGTTGCTGGCATGGAACTGGATCTCACATCCGTGTGGAAAGTGTAGCTTTCCAGTTTGGAATCAGGCAGCCACAGCGCGGATGCAAAAAAACTTCAAAACTTCATGCGTTGAGGGATGTTCCTTGATCACACCTTGCTGTCCACCCAGGTACTGTCCACGAGGCTAGGAGCTGTCCACAAACCGTTGGTTTGAGCATTTCTCAGTTTCACCCGAGGCGGAAGAATTGGAGGAAAAGAAGCGGCTTTTGAGGGACGGATGAGGGATGCAGAGGCGTTGTGTGACAGAAATTCCTTGCGCTGATAAGCATAAAGGCATATTCGGGTAAGTGAGCTGAATACTTTGTTGAGACATGTGGAGACCCTTCATGTAGATAATACTGTATTGGTATTAGGCTCCTGGGCGATGATTGTCAATCCGCTCACGACATCGCACGGAAGCAACCCACCCCCTGGACTAGCGCCCACTGCATCGTTGATGTTTTGCATGCTTCGCCAAGGTGTTCCTGCAAGATCATCTGGTCAAAGAGAAGTTACAGCTATATAAAGCATATTGAAGGATATTGCAGGGCTTTGTGGATGTCCCAGTACTTTGGAAAGATACATTCCGACTCACTAGCATGGAGGTGACAAATGGGTTTACTTCCACTTCTACGAGTGTACCTTGGGTGTTTTTGGTTGGTCACCAGTCACTTTGGCTTGTGTTTTCTCAACCCCCCGCTTCCAAGCTGTGCGGCCAGGCCAAGCTTTCGGAGCTTCACGCGGACGCCGCTCAGTCACGGCGCTTGCGCCGGGCAAACCCAATGGACACCAGGGGTGCACCGGGGTGGCAAGAGTGTAAATATATGGTTGTTTTTGATGATGTATCTTTGTTCGGCGCAGAACAGGTTATGGTATGCCTTGGCTCCCCAACAGGCGACCCAACAAGTGATTCCTTCGATTCAGGGAGAATTTACAAGTGTGGACCTGGAATCGAAGATGGGCCCGATGAAATCTGGCTTGGTTTGGACTTGTCTCTGACGTGATTCCCAGGATTGTTAATGTTGTTGCCAAGTCCGCAGCGAGCTGCCGAGCAGTGCCGAGCAGAGTGCAGGAGGGAGTGCAGAGTTGAACCGCTGAGTGAGAACCAGGAGATCCAAGAGCGAGTGCAAAACCAGCAGCTTTTACAGAAAACGAGCTGGTGAGGCGAGGCGAATGTATGCCTCCAAGTTTTGAGATGATCACTTGTGATTGATCTCATTCATATGCCGATGAGCCACACCTTCATGCCAGACTGATCTGCGGGCGATCGGCCCGCTGCCAGAGCCTCACAGACTGATAAACCTTGCGGAAGAGTCGGAAGATGCAGTGGTCAACCAGCTGAAGCCCACTGCAGGACGAGGGTTGACCGCCAAGCAACTTTTTGAGGCGGGGCATTGGAGGGTGCAACATCAGAGTGGGGCAGTGGATACCTGATGACATGTAGCGACGACGTTATATTATACATCCCTAGAGCTCCTTAGGTGGCGCAAGAAGAACAGCAATGGTCGAGATTTATGCTTGGTTGTTTGGAGCCTGAAAATCGCGCCAACCACGCCATTGAGCTGCAAATTGTTTGGCACGCTACAGCCTCCGTAGCAACAGTTGCTTGGTGACATTTCAAGTCTCAAGCTGTTGAAACTTACAAAGCTGCACAACAGTCGGTGGAATGAATGCATGCAGACTGGTGCATCCGGATTATCATGTACGTGCATGTTTTTTCTCACTTGACTAGGGTTCCTTCAATTTGAGGTGACTAGGAACTACCACGGGTTGAAGAAAAACAACCGTGAACGTGGATAAAAACAAGAGAGTCCTGGAATTTGCTGACGATCGTGGCTTGTTGAGTCCTTCGCCCTTTGAGCCACAGTCCTTTAGTGAAGGCCTCAGGCGAGGCCTGTATTGCCGCAGCTCAAGTGGGAGTTGCATTTGCTGTCACCGTGGATCTCCAATGGAGGATTGAAACACTCACCAGATCCAGGGCGACGCAAAAGCCTCTGACTACTCATCTCAGAAAATGGTGTGGCCCCGTTGAGTGTTTTTTGAATGTGCTAATGGTGGCATGGTGTTTGGAACAAAGACAGGCTAGTTGATTTCACTGGAGGGATATGTTGGCAAAATTGGTTCAACACCAATGCCCAGAACTGGAGGCCGTCATTTTACGTCTCAACCTGGAATTCTTCTGGTGAGGGCACGAGCCGGAATGGGAGTGCATGGGGGTCTACAGTCTACACACGCCGATTGACCTCGGGCCAGCCCTTCATTCTGGGTATCATGGGATCACAGACCAACGATTTGTTCGTTGCGGGGACGGGCAGGTCATTTGCAAGGTGGGGGCATCCGAGCACTGCCGGTTCATGCTGTGAACCATGGACATGTGCACACGAGGGGGCTTCCTCCATAGTATAACATGTCAATAGATTTATAGATGTAATTTGCCAAACATGAAGCAGTGCATGGGGATTTTTGTAGTCTCGCCTTTGTCTGCAAACATGACAAACAAGGCTTGCAGTTATAATTCCTTTCTTTGGGCTGTGGTTCTCCATTCATGAAAGCTACTAGGAGCAAGAAGCTACTAGGGGCTCCTGGCCTTACTACTAACAAGAAGCTACTGGTAGCAAAGGGCGGAGCAAGAGGACGCTACTGGGGGCTCCTGGCCATGGGGATCCTTGAGTGGACCCATCTCCGAGGTGCCGACCTCTTGGCTCGCCTTGCGGCGCTGAAGACCCACCAAGAGATGCAAAGCCGTGGCTGGGCTGTGAAAAGGGGTGGCTGACATGGGGAGGTGCCGGGTGTTTATTGTTTTTATGGGATGCTTTAAGGTTCACACAAAAACTGCTCTCGTCCTTTGCGACATGGACACCCATGCGGTGAAGGCCTTCAAGTAGACTTCAAATAGATTGGGCGGACCAAAACAATTATAATGGTCATATATGGTCTTAATCAAGGAAAAGGAACAGCAATGTGGATGCAACCATCAGTTGTATTACGTTTCGATTCGCTTTATTGGTTTATGCCGGTATGGCTTTGCAAGGCTTGATCCGCTCCCACTCGGTTATACAAATAACTTTTGCCTACACATACCAAAAACGATGAGTTCACAAAGCCAGACCAAGTCCTTTGGTTTCTCGCCGTCTCCGCCGAAACGAGGCCTCTTGGAAACACAACGGCTGGAGGTGCAGGCCTCGGAAGAGGCCGTGCTTCGAAGCAGCCACGAGGCGAGGGCGGCTGCGGGGTTGACTCGAAATACAGAGAGATGCAGAGAGGTCTGGGAAAGCAGGCAGTTATTTTATGTGACTTTGGGTGAAGCAAGGGTTTTTAGGATCTTTTTGATCTGCCAAATGGGATAGTGCTCTCTAGTATTTTCTAGTTGTTTGTCATAGAAGTGTTTGTTTTCGTTTTCCAGAGTAATTGGAGTAATAGCATGGCATGGCATAGTCCAGCGGCTGCCAGCACTTCCTCACCCTATGATTTGCAGATGGTAGTGGGGGTTTATCAAACATGTTTTGAGATGTTTGGCAAGATCCTAAGTTGGAGAACATTTTCTAGATTTCCACTGGCTCATGATGTCCTCCAGGTGCCTATTGTTAATATGCTCCATATCCAAAGCCTGAAACGCACTGAGGAGCAAATGTTGGGAGCGCCCCATGATCCCCATGATCCATCCATTCAATTTAAACATCTTTAAACATGTTTAGCTGTTGATGTAAAATGGCAGCGCCTTCCCAACGCGAAGCGCTCTGACGAATTGTTCTCATCAAAGCCCTTTGGAGGCACGAAAAAATACATAAAACATAACGATCTACACCAACAAACATGGACAATGAAAACACGACATGCCCACCCTGTTTCTTTTGAGGCCTTGCAAGCCGAAGACCAAGAGCTGCAGATGGACTCGAAGCTTCGGAGCGCCAAAGGTGAAGTCCAGACCCTGGAGGCCAGGGCCTTCGGGCCTTCGGGCGTTCGGCAGCGGTGTCGTTCTTTGTTTTGGTGGGCCGGACTGAGGCCTGGTGGGCCATCTAGGCTGGCCACATGAAAGCATACCATGTCCTTCACTGATTTCAGCCTCAGAACATGAGAATGGAAACGCGAAATGACCTCACTACAGCAATATGTATTGAAGATTATTGAAGTGCCGCTCATGCATTTCACGTCTCTTTCCTGCATCTGAGTTTCTTGATACTTTTTGTTTGTGGGATATGGGCGGCTATTCCTGGTACATGGGACGCCAGACTTCGTACTCTAATTAAGACAATCGTGCAGAAGGAGCTTGACTCTGGCTCTCGCAAACTTCCCAGCGATTTGGTGCAGGAAGCCATCTTCATGCACAGAAAGCAGTTGGTAAAGCAAGGGCGACCAGTGATGAGGTTCAAGCCATTTACACCTATGACCAAGCGACGCCTGAGTGCGCAAACTTTTGAAGCTTCTGTGCGGCACAGAACAGCCGTCATGCACTGTTTTGCTGCTGCAGACATTGGCCATTCTGGCACCCCAACCACAAGATAAGAGCCGATCAGAATGCAAGTTTATATGCAATCTGGTCCCAAACCTCCAAACCTAGGCGAAAGTTCTTAAAGAAACATTACCTTGAGAGTGATGATGTCCGGCGTTTGCAGAGAACGACGTGGGAGTGGCGCACGCACGCGAAGGACGTGCCCTATAGGATCCATGCAGCCCGCACTCCTCCAAAGCCTTTTGAGCCACGGAACGGCTCGCTGCCAGTGCAGTATGGTCACAGGTCTGTTCCAAGTCCACTGCCGTCCTGTTGGAGGACTATTGTTCGGTAGTACGGACAGTCAGATTGACATGTTGGATGGCTTCAGTGGTGGCAAGTGCTTTCAGTTTTTCTCACTTTCACGTCTCCGGAGTCAAGATTGACGAGGCAGGGCCACAATCAGCAAGAAATCTCGACCAGATCCTTCGCTTTGCCTAGGCAGTTGGTCGAAAACATCCAAAAGATCTGGCGCCCGACCCACTTCAAGTGCACAAGAAGGCTTATTCACAGATCGTTCCATTTGTTGACCGCCAAAGACGATATTGGGAAGTGTCAGTTGTGGCTCTTCAAACTTGACAAAGCTTGGACCAGAGAAATTCCTGTGAGAGTGTTTGTTCAGGACACTGTTGCGCCCACCGCCCAAGCGCCTTGTTCAACCTAGCCAAACATTTGCCTTGTGGCCGTGGGGCCTACATGTGGATGCTTTCCCTTGGAACGCAAA